ATCTTAAAGCTTCTTTTTTATTTATTGAGGTTTTAATAAATCTAATATAAAAGTAATGAGGTTTATGTTTAAAAAAAAGTGTTTAAGGAAAAAATAAACTTAATTACATACACTACTGTTTAAAAGTTTGGGGTCAAATAAATTTTTTTAAAGAAATTAAATAAATTATATTCAGCAAGGATGCATTAAATTGACCAAAAGTGGCAGTACATAAATTTATACGGTTACTAAAATTTTCTGTTTCAAATAAATGCTGTTTTTTTGGACTTTCTATTCATCAAAGGATCCTTTAAAAATGTATCATAGTTTCCAGAAAGTAGCACAAATGTTTTCAACATTGATAATTATAACAAATGTTTCTTATGTGCCAAATCAGCATATTAAAACGATTTCTGTAGGATCATGTGACGCTAACGACTGGAAAATTCAGCTTTGCCATCACAAGAATAAATTACATTTTAAAGTATATCAAAATAAAATAAAATAAGCAGTTATTTAAAATTGTATTAATATTTCACAATAGTTCTGTTTTTCTTATTTTTGATCAAATAAAGGCATCCTTAGTGAGTAAAAGAAACTTATTTTAAAGGCAATGAAAAATCCTAGCGACCCCAAATTTTCGAGCCATAGGGTAATTCTCTGAAAATAGGTCTTACACAGTTTGCTGAGCACTTGAAGAACATCATTGTGAAAGAGGGAATGAGGGATATCACCAAGAGTAATAAAATTCAAAGTTGTAAGCGCAGTGTGTATTTTCTCATTTGGTTACTCATGCAAGATTAGATAGAAGTATTTCTCCTCTGAGATATACTGTACCTCAGGCAAAGGACAGCAGCTCCAGTCTCCATCGGTGTTCTCACAGCAAGTGTTGGAGTCAGGACAAACGTGGCTAGAGTCGCAGTTCACGCTCCCAGGTGACCTTTGACCTGCTCTAGGGAGAGCAGGCACCTTCTCCAGCCAAGGCTTAGAGTCCGAAGACTCGTCACATGACCCGGCAGCAACGTTACATGTCGTACCATGAGAACAGCAGTGGAAAAAGTCATCACAACACACGGCCTACAGAGAAAATGGAGTCATCTTATCAAAATATCTTCTTTTGCGTTCCACAGAAGAAAGAAAGTTTAACAGAATTATTCCTTTAATCAATCAGGTGATTTACCTCTGGTAGAGGACAGCAGGCCCATCCTCCTTCTTGAGTCTTACAGCATGTGTTTCCATCTGGACAGGATGCGGTGTCATCACAGGAAACATTTGAATGCACTGAAAACACTAGAAAAGAACAAACCAGTTTAAGAACAAATAAAATGGTATTATTCTGTGTCTGTGTGCACTGGATTCAGTGCTTTGAACTACCTTGTGTAACAGCCACATTCTGACTGCTGACTGGTTTGACGGGCAGCTTCTCGAACCAGGGCTCAGAGCCTGAAGACTCGTCACATGACCCGGCAGCAACGTTACATGTCGTACCATGAGGACAGCAGTGGATGAAGTCATCACAACACACGGCCTACAGAGAAAATGAACATACACCTTTAACTTAACTCAAAACACAACTCTGCATCAGGATTGGTTATTGTCAGAGGGTGACTTACCTGTGGCAGAGGACAGCAGGCCCATCCTCCTTCTTTAGTCTTACAGCATGTGGTTCCATCTGGACAGGCCGCAGTGTCATTGCAGGGAACATCAGAGGCTGAATATAAAGAAGGCAATAACAGAAACCATTTGAGAAGTGTTATTATTTATGTGCACATAAAAAACATGTATGTATTGCCATTTACAAATTTGCACATACTCTCTGGGAGTGCACTAGCCAATGTAGTCATTTGTATGCCAGCAGTAGTGATTTGTCTGGTTGTAGTGAGTTCAGCTTCAGCCCTCATTTCTGCAGCTTTTGAAGAATAAGGACAAAGAAATGAAAATGCTGAATTATATCAGTGGAGGTTATCAGAAAATTAATAACTCTCTCGGACAATAGCCTACGTTTGTGATCTTCCCATTCAGCTCTAAGACGAGCAGGGAACTTGGCCCACATAGGCAGCTCCTGATTGGTGGACATGCATTTGGAGCCTTCAACATCACAGACACTGTCCTCTGGACAACAGTGGATTTTATCATCACAACATACAGCCTACAGAAAACACAAATGACAGAGAAAGGAATGCAAGTGAAAACATTCATAAACAAATTAAGAAATTAATTAATTAATTTAATTAATCATATTATATAGGGGCAGCATGCCCACTGGCCATCATCTGTTTCACAACATGTGGTGTCCACGGGACATTCTGAGGTCCCATTTCCACAAAGAACAGTCTCGACTGGTTCTAAGAACAATCACAGGACAACACCATGAACCACACTTATATCCTATCCTAATGAATACAGTTAATCTTACTACTGTAAACCCGTAATAAATGTATATGGGATCTCCTTTAAATAAAGGATGATTTAATCATGAAAAGTCTCTAGTCCACCTTCATTCCTTCAGTCTCTTCCATACCTTTTAGTTTGACACACAAACTGCTGTCTGCACTGCATTCATGGTCTTTTGGGCAGCAGTGTTTCCCGTCTGAGCACACAAGGCCCTGAAAAAGAGAAGAACATAGTATATATTCTTATAACAAAAAAAAAAAGTATAGAAAATAATATATCTCAAAGGGTCTATGTTTTAGCAACACCACGCTTCTTTTGTGACCAGGTGAGAGGCCATTCAATACACCATGTCATGGACAAGAAGCTGGTGGTTTGGGCCCATATTCCTGTGATAATGTAACTTACCTGTGCTACGGGACAACACCCATATGATGAAGCCATCAGCAGACAGGAGAACTCAGCAGGACAGAATGAGCCATCAGGACAGGTGGTGTCATCTTCACTTGCAGGTAATGAGGGAATCATTCTGAGCGACTGAGGAACGAGGATTGTTAAAGGGACAGTTCACCATAAATGAAAATTCTGTCATCATTCACTCACCCTAATTTTCCATAGTACGGAACAAAATACTCAATGGCTACCACGTTGGTTTGGTTACCAACATTCTTCAAAATATCTACTTTCAGATTTGGAACAAAATGAAGGGTGGGTAAATGATTACAGAATTTTCATTTTTGGGTGAACTATCTCTTTATAACATAACAAACAGCTTCGAGTACTATTATTTAGAATCTTTTTATAATTTCTCACTTTGGGAAGGTCTGTCCGTTTAGCCGGTATCCTCTCCACAAATGGCAGTGTATGTGTGGCGTTTATACACGTGGAGTTTACAACACTGCACAGCATGCCTTCAGGACAGCAGTGCAGGTGGTCCTCACAACACTCTCCCTACACACACACGCACAAATAATTATACACACGTATGAGCTGTTCATTCACACAAACATACTGTAAACAGTTCATTGAGCAATACTGAAGCTGGACATTTGACACAACCTCCTGAATACAGCTTCATTTCTTTGAGCTCTTTGAATAGCAAAGTCATCAAAGAGCAATTTGCATGTTGATACTATACGAGTGCCTTATCATAACCCTTATTACATGAGCTGACAGTGTGAATGTGTCTAAAAAAAGGGTGCTATTGAGGAATATCTGACAGAGCATAAAAAACGAGTGACCGCAGAACACTGTCTTCCATATCAGTGTACAATTTACCTTCTCGTCTTGTCTAATCTACTTTCTACAACCTTTATTATGTTTATAGAAGAGTAGCTGGCACTAATACTCTGAGCTGAAACTGTCTTTATGTATCTGTCACTAGTTTAGTTGCTCACGTGATGGAAAGGGCAGCAGCTGAACTCTCCAGTGGGATCCTGGCGGCATGTCTGGCCTGCCTCACAGACTTCATTGTTGGGGTACTGCGAGCAAGCAACCAGAGTCACCAGAGCGAGGCCGAATGTCACTTTCAACATCTGGATGGAATGAGAGAGAGTTAAAATGTTAAAAGTAACAGATTTGAAATGTGAAAAGTGTCTGATGTGTTTAAGCAGAAAATGCAAATACAAACTTTCATTCATTTGGAATAGTGTAACCCATCAGACCTTCACGTCTAAGATGCAGGGTCACAATTTAACAAACCTTTTCAGATGTATACATCACTGTATCCTCTTTTGTTGAGCTATAACAGTGCAAGTATATGATTTTAATTTGTGTAGCACTTCCTCTTTCACATCTAGAAATTTGAAGCAAAAGCTTACCAAATAAACTATGCTGACCCCAGATACAATAACTGAAACTCAGGGTTATAAATGTTTGAGAAAAAGTTGTTCAAATCCAGCAAAATAAATTTTGTTATACAGTTGGTGAGTATCTTATTTTCTTATTTCTGACTGAGGGCACACCAAGGGGACCAGTCAATTAAAAGTGTGCTGTTTTCTTTCCTTTTCTTGACAAAAGGAAATCCCTCTTATGAATGCCAAGCCACATTGTGACTGATAGACTGGTTTTAGCACCTAAGCTTCTATTGCACAAAAAGTGGGCACTGTGAATGTGGTAGGCTACTTTAACTTTTTTTTTTTTTTTAGTCACTGATTAATTTTTAGTTGCTATTTCTAACTGAGAATAATGCTCAAATTAGTTAATTTCAGAAACAATAAACCTCTTCTGAAGTAAAAGAAAGAGAGAGGACGCACTTCAATTCAACTTACTCTTAAATGTTAAATGAACAGGTGGATTTGTAAACGGTTTAAAGTGAATGACCAGTTCGTGGATCCGAGGGGTCCAAGTTACCGATCTGTCAACAGAGTTAAAAGATTTAGATAAAAATAAATAAATAAATTAAATTCATCATTCCATTTAATTCTCTTTTACAGTTTATTAACATTAAATGTACTACATAAAAGTGAGTTAGTTCATTGTAGGAAAAAAAAATCTGCTATAGCAACCGTGGATCCGAGGGGTCCAAGTTACCGATCTGTCAACAGAGTTAAAAGATTTAGATAAAAATAAATAAATAAATAAATAAATAAATTAAATTCATCATTCCATTTAATTCTCTTTTACAGTTTATTAACATTAAATGTACTACATAAAAGTGAGTTAGTTCATTGTAGGAAAAAAAAATCTGCTATAGCAACGAGTGACGCGTAAAAATGAAACACAATGAATGAGCAAAGCACTTTTGCACATAACTACCATGCTGTTTGAAAGTGTACAAAGGGCGTCTGAAACGAATTATGGAAATACAAGACCTACCGTGTCCCCTTGCAACCTTCTCACACGGTGCTGGAATTAATAGATGTTTGCCTCTTAAATGTAGAATTCTCTCAAACTCCGCCTACATTAGAGGGCAGCCTTTGTATAATGTAACTGTCCGTTAATACGAGGCGTGTCATCCGTGTTGGATTCCTTGGAAATGCAAATAGCATCTTTTTCGTCAGAAAAAATAAATAAATAAATGAAAAATTTAAAATAAAATAAAATAAAAAGCTGGTGTTCTTACAGCACTAGATTGTGATTTCCCTTACGAAAAAGAAGTTTATTCAAGTGTGCTGTTAGTATACTTCTTTTAAACAAAAAATAGGAAAGTATACTTTTAGTCTACTTTTTTATGTACTTCTCAGAAATATACTTAAAATGACATTTAAGTATAGTCACTTTGAATAAAAACGTCTTCTGACCATTAGTAGGCTATATGAAAAAACTGTATGAGATATCAAAAAGCTTTTGATACATTTTTGAATATGAAAAAAAAAGGAAACCTGGCACTACCTGAACATATTGCTGAAACAACATTTTGGATAGCCTACAGTCGGGTAGAAAACTCGAATATTCGTCTTTTGGCGCCCCATAGTAAAAACAAAAGACAAAAAAGAAACGTCCCTTTTTCCAAGATATTGTATAGCCTATTAAAGAACAATCAAAATATAAGTACAAGTATTGCACATGCACCTGTTGAACAGTCCTAAGACACTAACGCTTTACAGGCGGCAGGCAATTTAGGTCTCAGAGTTATAGGCATAACTTAAGACATAAAGAGACCTTTCTACTGACTCCGAAAAATACCAGAAGATGCCCAGAGTCCCTGATCACCTGCACGAACATGCCATAGCATGAGGAAGCATGAGGACTGCATGTGGCCAGAGAAATGGCAATGTCTGAAATGTAAATTACAGAATACAAATTGTGGGGGCATTTATTTATTGGTCCCAATGAGGAAATAAGCTTACAAATCATACAGAATGATCTTTTTTGAAAATCTAAAATAGCAGAAAGTTTTGTGAGGAGTAGCCCAGCTAGGTTTAGGGTATGCTTAGGGTAAGGGATAGAAAATAAAATTTGTACAGTATAAAAAACCATTACGTCTATGTAATGTCCCCATAAAACATGGAAACGTGTGTGTGTGTTAAAGAAACTTTAACGTTAAGTTACAATTACTATCGACGTCGCCATTGTGAATATAGAAAATATATCCCATCATACCTGAAACGAAAGCGAAATAACTGCCTTAACTACGGGTTGCTTCGTCACGGTATGTATTTGTCTCATCTGTTTATTTAGAAATATGTGGAAAATAAATGATCATGACAAAACAAAAAAGTATACAGTGGTTCCTACGAAAAGTCACTAGTCACAGAAGTCTATGGTTTGTTGTTAAAGTGCTTTGTTGTTAAAAAAAAAAAAAAGTAGTCGTGACAGACGCAACGTATGACAAGTGAAAGTGTTTAATGTCAACATTTTCCTCAACATTTTCCAAAACAAATAGTATACAAAACAAAAACGTGTCTGCTGGGTCTAATAAAGTGTTGAATGTTTTTCTTTTAAAGCAACTTTTTGCGACGTCAATAACTCATGCTGTCATGTTTAACTTAAGTTCTTAATAGGCTTAAGTTTATTAACTAGCCTACTTAACTAGCTCAATTTAGGCGAACGAAATGTCCAAGATTTGATGAAAAACAGCTCTTAAAGGTTTTCACATTGGTTGTAAAGACATGTTATGTTTTTCTTCCGTCTACAACAGTGTTCTCTGTCCACAGGTTCTTGCGTAGGTAGAAATGTCTACTGAGGTAAAGGAAGTGTTCTGGCAATTTTTTTGCATTCGATTCTCTATTCAGTAAAATGACCGTGTTTGTCATTTTGTCTGTCCACTCAGGATTTCAGTCTTATGGATGGTCAGTCTTTGGGACGTCTGGACCATGTACTGAGGGAGATCAACAAATACAAGGTGTGTGAGTGGCTCGTAAACCGGGATACTTGTCAACCAGAATACAAACCATTAATCCTTATGTCCTCTCATCTGTCCAGACACAGCATAAAGCATTGTTGGCAGAACAAAAAATACTGAGAGATGGCATAGATAACAACAACAACTTTGCCAAACAATTTAAAAAACGTTCTGAGGAGAGGAAAGCATCAATTGAGGATGAAAAAAAGAAACGTACTATGATAATTCAGAAAGAGAAGGTATGTATAAATAAAAATACAGACACTCATTTTATGCCCTAATCTAAAGACTTTAAAAAAATCTGAGGTTATTGGTCCCTGTGTGCAGGAGAAATGCAGAGCTGTACAGGACGAGAACACCAAGCTGCAGGTGGAGATCCTGAAAGTGAAGGAGGAATTGCATAACCTGGACCAAAGAAACACAAGTCTGAAAAAGCAAACTGAGGTTTACGAGTCAAAATAAATATATTCATGCTTATCTTAGCTGCAGTCACTGGGCTGAATGGGCTGTGTGGCTCTACAATATATCGGTACAATATATGTTGAAATACTTTTTAATAATAATCTAAACTTTTTATATATTTTCCCTTATATTAATATAAATTTGAACTTAAAACTTCAATGCTTAATTTGGACACATTATCAACTGTGAGACTAACGAGGCTCCACACCGACTCCACAGATCTCTACAGCAGTGCCTGAGAGGAGGGTTGTGTTTCGAGGAAATACAAAAGAGGGAGCGCATGCTGTGAGTTTTGATGTGAATCCCCGTATAGTTTATCCAATGGAGGGTGGAACAGCACTGATCACCTTTGAGGAAAAGGATGGTATGTAATGATCCAAACTAGCATCATCACAATAAGAAACAACATCAAAAGTGCTTAAAGGTTCAAAGAACTCAAGGAACTGAAGGGCTTAAATACACTAAAACAAAGGAGATGATTTACTAAACAACAGGTGAACAAAATGAGTAATTAAACAGAGCAACAAACTATAGGTCAAATGGCAAAACAAAGACGACAGAACCAAAACACAATGAAAACATAAACAGAACAGAATATAAGTGTAACAAAGTCTTTGGCACCAGAAACAACATTGACTGCATGGCACTGCATTGTCCACAAAGATATTGATACTTCCTAACCCTATAAGTTAAGGTCCCCATCTTAACTTATTTGAATATATCATAGTTTCTTTAAATTAGTAACTAATAGTAACTAAAATAACTGAATTCAAATGTAAAAATTAAATATTTTAATTTAAGTTTTAGGACCTGTGGCCTGTAGCACGAAGCGAAATGAACAAACTCAGAGTTTCAGAGTAAGTTTAGAGTTGACAAAACCAAACAAATCTAACCTGGTTTAGATCAGGTTCAGCAGGCTCACAAAGCTCGATATAAATGTTCTCAGTCAACTCAGAGTTTAATTCAGAGTTTGTGATTATAAGAATATATTATACAAGTTATAAGCAATTATAATTGATATAATTGCCGCAAAAGTCTGGCAATTTTGTCTCAAATTATTTGACTCTAAACTGCTTTAATTTGAAGCTAGAGATGGAGGAGTGGCTATATTGCATCAGATATATGTCACTTTGCTCACAGCTGATTGGTCCAGTTTGGGTTTGTGATCTCGAACTCAGAATAAAACCTGCTTCAGAGCAGGGTAGCCGTGTAGCGCAAGTTACCATGGTGACGAAACCTGCTCAAAACCAGCAGCAATTTTGTCTCAAATTATTTGACTCTAAACTGCTTTAATTTGAAGCTAGAGATGGAGGAGTGGCTATATTACATCAGATATATGTCACTTTGCTCACAGCTGATTGGTCCAGTTTGGGTTTGTGATCTCTAACTCAGAATAAAACCTGCTTCAGAGCAGGGTAGCCGTGTAGCGCAAGTTACCATGGTGACGAAACCTGCTCAAAACCAGCCCACCTTCTTGAGCCCGAAAACTCAGTTTGCTCAAACTAAATGCGAACTTACGTGGGTAAAAACTGAAACCGGCTTCGTGCTTCAGGCCACTGGTCTTCAGCGATCCCATTCTTTTTAACCAATGCATTTACATGACTCTTCCAGTTGTTTGTGAAGTATAGAAATTGTTTTTTCTTACTTTTACTTTACTTTTAGTCATTTAGCAGACGCTTTTATCCAAAGCGACTTACAAATAAGAAAAAGTAATTAAAAGACTGCACTAAACACTGAGACAAGAAATAAATACACTTACTGTATTAAGTGTAATAAATCTTGTAGCTTATTGCTTTATACTGTATTAATATTTTTCTAAATTTATTAAAATATTTTTTACTCAGGATTTCTAACTGATTAAATATTTTAGAGCTTGGCATAGACAGAAAAATGTTTATACATTATAAAAATGCCCATCACTTTTTAAGATTTTATCAGTTTAAACAAACCTTATTTCTGTAGAAACCTTGGTTCCTCAAAGAAGAAAAAAGGTTGTTGAGGGGTTGTAATAAAATAAGAAAATTATATATTTTTTATATTGTTTTTAATATTATGTTTTAAATAGATTTAGTTCATCTTGTAAGAAAAAAGGTTGTTGAGGGGTTGTAATAAAATAAGAAAATTATATATATTTTTATATTGTTTTTAATATTGTGTTTTAAATAGATTTAGTTCATCTTGAGGCCCCATTAGAAGTTTGCTGAGGACCCCTAGTGGGTCTAGTGGGTTATGAACCACTGCCATAGATTTTTACATTGAGACACTTTTCAGTATCATTAAAATTACTGTAACACATAAGCCTACCAGGGCTTCTTGTAGCTTATTGCTTTATTAAGTTCTCTTCAAATCTCTTCTGATACTACATCTTAGTGGCTCAGAAAATCTTGAACCTAAAGGATCATTTGGTGCAACTTGGGGACTGTACCATCACCGTGCAGGCTAAACCCATTCAGTTCCTGGTACCCAGTTATGTTGAGGTAATAGAGACAAGCTGACATCCGTTTACAAACATGGATTGTATATTTTGGATTGCATTGTGTTCCTATGGACTAACATGATATAAAACAACACTCTGTTTCTCTCTCCATCTGTTAGATGGAAACACAGGTGTGCCCACGCAGAATCCTAGTCTCCAACCTGCCAAAGGAAGAACCTGAAGATAGAGTACTAGACAAACTAGACATCCATTTCTCTAAGAAGAAGAATGGAGGCGGCGAGGTGGAGGACAGAGACATGCTACATGACTCTGGCACTGTGGTCATTACCTTTGTAGATGATAATAGTATGTTAACTAAATTCATTCAGTCCGACACATCTCAGTGCAAGATGCTTGAGGTGTTTTTTTTTTTTTAATTCTGTTTGTTTCTATTTGTCTTCAGTCGCCAAATGTCTCTCCGACAAACAAGATCATGAGGTAGACTTTGGTAAGAAGTACAAGGTGAAGGTCACTCCATTCCTCAATGGCGAGATTTCACAAATGAAGGTAAGAAGAGTAGAGTATGTCTCAATAATTTCAACCGTTAATGCTGGGTTGTTTATGATGTAAATTGACTGTTGCTCCCTTTCAGATCTGTAACTCAGTGTGCACGCGCACAGTGCTGCTGACGGGCATCCCTGACATCATGGACAAAGATAACCTGCAGGACAACCTGGAGATCCACTTCCAGAAGACGGCCAATGGTGGCGGAGAGGGGGAAGGCATCATGTACAACCCTCCAGGCCACACCACCCTGGCTTTGTTTGATGAGGACTCTCCTAAAGACAGCTAGAGCGTGTGAGAACTCTAAAAAACCTCTACAGCCCAGAAATTGAACACTGCCTTTAGACAACAAAACAGATCATTAATTCATAATACTCTATAGAACTCCTGATTTGGGTCTATTTTTCAGAAAGTTATATAGTATGGATCCCTTCACCTCTTATTTACAGTAATCTTGACCTCTTTACCTATTATAATATAATATAATATATACCTATAGAATATACGTTATATAGTAATATACTTAATTAATGGATACACTTAGTTGTATTTCTTGTCTTTTGATGATGAAAGATCCGGTCAAATTGGGTTATGGCTTATGGAGAACAAAGTCTTTAATAAATGCTAACCAAAACTATCATTGTGATGTTTACGATACACTAATAGGAATCTCGTGAAACTAAATCCAAACAAAAGAAAAGAGAAAATATATTCTGTACAATGAAAGAGAAGGTTATTTTTAAGACCTTTTTTTTTTTTTTAACATGACACATATTTGTTTTACATCTGTTTGATTTTGAGTTTTTTGTTTTTAGTCAGTCATGCTCACTGGTGAATCTCATTATTGTAACAAAATAGTTTTGAGTTATAATTTATATTTAGTGGTTATTATAAAGCTATTAAAATACATTACAATTTTATATTTTAATCAAAATCAAAGACAGTCTAACAAACACTACCATGATGATCAAAATGTATGCTTAACCACACATGAAAGCAAACTAGACCTTGTAGGTGATTGAAGCAAAAGCATATTACATATTTGAATGCAAATTGAATTTATTTGTAAAAATACAGTAACGGAAAAAGTAAAGACATCTACTTCGAAAACCCTTCGAACAAAACAAACCAATCATGAGTGCAGCAGCAGCCCCCTCACCACAATAATGACAAATGTGAAAGATTCAGCCAACAAAGAAAGTAACAGCCAACTCCATCAGGTACTTAAACAGAAGAGATGTGGAGTGCATGGATTAAAACACAAATTTAAAATGAAGGGGAAAAAATGAAACAAGGGGCCGATAGGTATTCTAGCCATTAAAACAACACCAGGAATAAGTTAAAACTGATACATTCTACATGTTCAGTGAACATTACATATTTCACAAACACATGTACATATAGGTCACATTGTTGTTCCAAATATATCATATAGATAACACACACACAGACACACACACACAGAGCCGAGTAATGATCACCTACAATTATCACATCAAGACTTTTCTAGTGGTCTCTAGAGCTGCTATGTCCGGGCCGTCATTAAGCCCTTTGTGCGTGCACAAGTTCAGCTCATGGTTTTAAATCAACTAAATCTGGCGATAACACATTGTCCTTGTCCTTCTCTAGATAGACATACACAATCATTTACACGATCTTTACAAATTTGGACTTAAAGACCAATTTAGTGTCTTTTAAAAAACAACTGTCTGTCTGTCTGTCCTCTGCTAGTAAGAAAGAAACTTACGACACCTGTTCTCTTGCGTTACACAAACAAGCAGCTCATTGACTGAACATTTACATTAAAATGATTACGTGCAGATCCTTCTCAACTGCCTGATTTCTTAGCACCATTCCCGCAATATGAAATTTGAAATGTTAATACAGATAAAAGTTGTAGGA